TGTTATGTTGATTTGATCGCAGATATAGTTACAATACCATTCTCACGAAAACGTGTTTAAAAAAAGTTGTCCGACTTGATCACATGACGCTGAAATAAACATAAACGTTGCAGAGAAACTTATGAGCAATGTTCTGCCTCACAATCCAGGTAAGAAAGCAGAACATTGAAACCCACCTCTGTCGATAAACAGTATTCTGGTGGTTGCTCTGTGGGGCATTCTGTGTGTTTTGCATATTTTATGCTCATTTTATGCAAGTTTTTTTAAACCTGTGGACATTGTACATAAACTATATATGAAGAGTGTGGTTCCAAAATGCAATAAACACCATTTAAAAAAAAATCCGAAATGTAATTGGTCACTGTTGATAACCCCATATTCAGTTTTCTGCAAAACGCGATATCCACAGTTTTATTCAGTCCTGCTTTCTCCCATTCTTTCCAAACAGCGATAAACGCCAGTCCACCTTTTCCACAGAACGCTGCAAATCCACTCGACCAATCACAGCGCAGTATCCTACGTGGAGTAAACAACAATGGTGCGCCCGGGGGCTGCCGTCCTGCTAAATAAAACAGGCTGTATCTATAAATGTGGTGCAGAATCTTTGCATACTCTTCACCAGGAGTTAGCGGACATGTGTGCCTTTAATATGAGTGGCATTTGGGGGTGTGGTTATATGAAAAGTTTTGGAGTAAAATGAATAAAACCCCTGCGCTCAGCGACGCAGAGGCGAGCGGAAGTGCTGAGCGGAGCCTGAGCAGAGCAGAGCGAACCGGTTATTTTACCATTGACATAGTACTTCTACGGGCACTAACTGACTCAGACTTAGAGGAGGAAGACACGCAGGTGTCCAGTGAAGAGGACACGCAGAGCTGGTGCTTGCTTTGCTGGGGCCCTAAGCAGAAGTCAGCATAGGGGCCCTACGATAACATAAGCTAAGATATGATAAGACAGACTTTATTGATCTCCCACAGGAGAAATGTACATGTCACATTTGGCATGGATAGAATCACGCAAAACACAGAAGTGAGCAAACAAGTTAAAATACAAAAATAAACAAAATACAAATAAATAGTGCAGTATTAAACTTACCAGCACAATACAGAACATACAAGGTAGAAAATGTACTCACAATGTACATTGAAAGACCTCAAGTATGTTTTTATTGAAATGATTGTCTTTGGTCCCCAGAAACAAAGAGAGAGCGTCATCTGTCATCTACAGTCTCTCTCCCTAAAACCTTCAAACATTACATATATGTAATATATATATTTTACTAGGTAGTAAAAACCTAAAGTACTGTTAGTCGCTTGTCTGAAACATTAGCCTGTCTAGGACCACCAGTTATTTTCATGTGGCAGATGAAAGCCACACGTTCAAACAAGGATTATGCCGGCTGCCAAACCCAAACACACATCTGAACCACCAGTTTGCGGCTCTTTGAAGTGTGTTGCATTTGATGGGCTTCGCTTCACTGTCAGATTAATTCCTTCTGGGTTGAAAATAAAAATGGGCGAGGGAGCCGTTAATCTTAATAAGAATATTTGGATGGATGAGTGGAGCAGACAGACTTTATTGATTGGCCGGTGTCTGGAGTTGTAGAGCTGACCAAGCATGTCTAGTACATCTGTGCTTGTACTCAGAGCCAAATCAGTCACAATGGCACATTATGACAAGGATGTTTTATTATACATCATTCTGGAATAAAAATACATATTCAGAATTTAATTTCTTAGTAAACATACATACTTTTTGGGGGGTGGTATTCAGAATACGGAAACAAATTAGGAAAACATTATTAGATAACAATCATATTTTTAATGAACAATAATGTGTTTTTTATATCATGCTGTAATATGCAAATGCACAGACAAGTATTCCAAGTATTCAGAAAACAGTACCATTGGACCATATAACAGAATATCTCTAATGAGAGCAAAAAGACAGATGTATACTGTCTCAGGGGCAATGCTGTTGGTCCCCACTGTACTGTGTCAAGTGAAGGACTGGACCAAGGCAATTATGACTTTATTGAGCTCACACTAGATAAATGTACATGTCACATTTAGATTTAATCACTCAGATTGTGCAAAAGACAGAAGTGTGCAAACATGTCAGAGGTAAAATATATAGTCTGTGCAGGAAATACTATGTCGCCAGAGAAGAATCAGAAGAATAAATGTATTGCTATTTGCAGAAAACACTAAATTGGAATACAAACAGACAAAAGAATAAAAATATAGCTAGACACAATGAGGCACAAATAAAACTCATAAAAGCATTGTGAAGACAGTGTGCAACCCAGAGCTTGAGCAACGCAGTCTGCACCATCTATGTACAAGAAAAAGTGGCTATAACAGTGTAGGTGTTTTTCAGTCCTATTAGTGACTTAAAGTGACTTATTGTACAGTCTGACAGGGAAACCCATGAAAAGTTTACCCATGACAACAGTATGCATTGATCAATAGTTAGATACTAGTTTGGTGCAATGCATTATGGGAGATCATCCACTGCACAGAACCGGGAGGACCAGACAATGCCCAAATACAGGCGAGTTTCCCATAGATCTTTGAGAGTTTCCCATAGATCTTTGCGAGTTTCCCATAGATCGTTGAGAGTTCCAGGCAGAGTTCCACTAATCTTTTCGGCACCCACAAAACGCCACTGAGCACAAACCATTCATTTGAATACGCCGCCATCTTGGATTGCCAGGGCTTGGGTGGGAACCACAGTTTTCAAGGCAGAAAGAGCCATGCTTCTTCAGTGACCAGAGGTTGCACGTTTGACGTCAATTCAGATTTGTTGTTGTTTTGGCGCATATTGGGAGATTTGATAACACACAAAAAACTCTGGTTAGATCTGTCTACGCGCCAATGCATGAACAGATATTTTTGATATTTTCGTTTATTCCTCAAGTGGAGGAGTTCAAGTATCTCGGGGTCTTGTTCACGAGTGAGGGAAGGATGGAGCGTGAGATTGACAGGCGGATCGGTGCAGCGTGCGCAGTGATGCGGTCGCTGTATCGGACCGTTGTGGTAAAGAGGGAGTTGAGCCGAAAGGCGAAGCTCTCGATTTACCGGTCAATCTTCGTTCCCTCCCTCACCTATGGTCATGAACTTTGGGTAATGACCGAAAGAACGAGATCGCGGATACAAGCGGTCGAAATGAGCTTCCTCCGCAGAGTGGCTGGGCGCTCCCTTAGAGATAGGGTGAGGAGCACGGTCACACGGGAGGAGCTCGGAGTAGAGCCTCTGCTTCTCCACGTCGAGAGGAACCAGTTGAGGTGGCTCGGGCATCTGTTCCGGATGCCTCCTGGACGCCTCCCTGGGGAGGTGTTCCGGGCAAGTCCCACCGGGAGGAGGCCCCGCGGAAGACCTAGGACACGCTGGAGGGACTATGTCTCTCAGCTGGCCTGGGAACGCCTTGGGGTCCCCCCGGACGAGCTGGAGGAAGTGTGTGTGGATAGGGAAGTCTGGGCGTCTCTGCTTAGACTGCTGCCCCCGCGACCCGGCAACGGATAAAGCGGAAGAAAATGGATGGATGGATGGATGGATTTTCGTTTATGATGCGTGGCATGTGGCTGACAGGTCCAAGCGAAGAAAAATAACTCAGGTTTAGTAAATACCCAGCTATGTGTGGATCCATCCATTTTCTTCCCCTTAATCCATTTCTGGGTCGGGGGGTGGCAGTCAGAGCTGCACCCAGTCACAGAGCACCAGCCCCTCACTGATCCTCCTGCAGGTGGTGAGTCCACAAGAGCTGAGATCTTTCAGTGGGGGCTTCAGGCAAAGTGGGGTTAAGTGCCTTGCCCAAGGACACAACGACAGCAGTCATTAGTGGGAGTCGTGAAGTAGGTCTCAAGGTGGGCTCGAACCCACGACCTTCAGGCCCAAAGGCTAATGCTCTACCAACTGAGCCACTGTCGCCCAGGGCCTTAAACCTGTTTTAATATTTAGCATTTGTACTGTCGATACAATACAATACAATGTATTCTTGTATAGCCCTAGTTCACCTTGGAGAGACCCACAAGGGAAAATGCAGTTAGAAGTTATTAGATTAAGCATGTTTGGCGCCCTAGGCCCGGGAGCGATGCTGTTGAGCGCGGCGCTTGATCGCGCGCATAATCCCCCCGGGACCTAGGCACTGGTGGCGGCAGAGGCAGTAGGAAAGCACGCTTTGATGAGAAAAGGAGGAGGTGGGGCGGCGGAGGCTTGCAGACTTGAGATGGCCGGGAAGTGGGCGTCTCCGGCTTTTAACTTGCTGTCCTGGCGGTTATTGGTTGACTGGATGAGGGCTGGTGCTATGAGACTTGGGTGGCATCTCTGACTGTCACCCCCCTGACCCAGAAATGGATTAAAGGGTAGAAAATGGATGGATGGATGGATGGATGTGGGCGTTGCTGGTATGATGAGCCGAGGATGAGCAGCCTGTAGATCTGGGCAGCAGCAGCCGGGTCTACCACGGTGAACTTGCGCGAAAGCTCCATGTCAAAACAGAAGTCATCTCAGGCCCTGTCCACACGAAGTCAAGCTCAGGCCTAAACGCAAAAATACTTTATCAATCCAGTGTATCGTCCATACGAGGCCGGCGTTTTGGGGGGGTGTAAACGAACATTTTTGAAAGTAGGTCCCAGAGTGGAAAGATTTCAAAACTCCGTATATGGCGCTCCGTGGTTACTGCCTCTCCACAATGTATCTGAGACGCTTGCGTCATCGCCCCGCCTCTTGTTAAAGCACGCATGCGCCGCACTCAGAAAATAATGACAACAAGAATGGCGCCGTACAGTGTTGCTTGTGTCCTGTTGAAGCAAGTGAGCCTACTAACGTTATTACAGCAAAATATCCTTCTTCTCCATCATCTTCGGTTACGGCAATCTATTCTTGACAACATAGTACGCTACTTTATTTTGGATTCCCCGCGGATAAGGACCCGAAGGGCATCCCGGCGGAGGTTTTGGACACGACCTGGCAGAACTAGTAGCTGGTGGGACAACTTCATGAATGGTGTTGTCCTGGACGCTGAATGGAGGGAGAACTTTCGTATGGGAATCTGTCGTGGCGCTCACCGAGGAGCTAAGTCCGCACATCGAAGGGCAAACGACAAATATGAGGGCACCCATTGATCCTCTAAAACGGGTCGCTCTGACGCTTTATTATTTGAGCGACGAAGGAAGGCTACGGAAGACTGCAAACGCCTTCGATGTGTCGCGCCAGGCCGTGTCTGTCATCGTTAGGCAGATCTGCAGGACGATCTCCATCCACCTCGGTCCCAGGTACGTCCGACTGCCTTTCACGGAGCAAGACGCTACGGAGCTGGTTGTGGGGTTTCAACAGACTCATGGCATGCCCCAATGTTTAGGAGCAGTTGACGGCACCCATATTGAAATCAAACAACCGTCTGTCAACTCCACGGACTATATAAACAGAAAAGGCAAGTACACCCTGAATGTACAGGCAGTGTGCGATTACAAGTACAGATTTATGGATGTTGTCATCAAGTGGCCTGGAAGTGTGCACGACGCATGGATCTTTGCCAATTCAGAGCTAAATCTGTCACTGAAAAATGGCAAGATCCCGCCTCTTAAAAGGCGGATTGTGGACGATGAGGAGCCTATATCCATTTTCCTTCTCGGTGATCCTGCGTACCCACTGCTGCCTCATCTGATGAAGGAGTTCTCCAACGGTGGGTCGACGCCGCAAGAACAGTACTTTGGCCTGAGTTTATGTAGGGCACGGATGGTCATTGAGTGTGCATTTGGTCGTCTGAAAGCCAGATTTGCAGCACTGAGAAGGCCGATGGACATAAATTTGAATGACCTGCCCTATGTCATATACTCTTGTTTTGTTCTTCACAATTTCTGTGAGGCCAGTAAGGAGGGTGTAGATGAAGTGTCTGTGATGGGAACGATGCGAGGAGAGGTGGACTCACAGCCTCCCACACAGTGCAACAATTTCCGCACTGACTGTAATGAGGGGGAAGGAAAGAGAGTGAGAAGAGTGGTAATGAAGTACCTTGACCCTTAAGGACTGCCAGTATTGCCAATACTGTATTTAACTTTGTAAAACTTTGAAAATCATATTTGGGAAACCACTATGAGGTTATGGTTACTTCTGTTTAGTTTAGTTTAGTTTGAATGGAGTAGAGTGTTAAGCGTGACGACAACATGTTTTAAGTTTTGAAGTCGTTATTTTGACAATGTTATTTATGTTCACAGCTACAAATAATTTCCAACTTGAATCAATGTTACTTTAAACTTGTGGGTGATCCGGAAAAAGTATTTAATTTGCCTTATGTATTGACAAAAATAAAAAGATTGAATATAACAATGTTCAAACACTGTCTTTTTATTAAAGTGCAACAAAAATAGTCACAGTATAAAATCTGCAAATATCACTGGTATAGCGAAGCTTGTTTTGTAACAAAATAACTGCTTCATTTAAAAAAAATTACCTGAGAACTAAACAAAGTAGTGCAAAATTCACAAAAATAAACAGATGAGCTCAATCATCTTCAGATAGTGCTCGTGTGTATGAAAATGAGGGGGTATATTGCTGTAAAGTTTCGTGTGATGGTAGTGGTGGTGTTGGTGTGTATCTCCCAGAGTGGTGTGTTTCACTTGGAGTGTGAATGAAGGGTGATGCATTGTGGTGTGAGTTCTGGTGCATGTTGTATGAAGGTGGGTGTCCCTGGTATACACTGCTGCTACTGTGGGGGCGTGCATTGAGAGGCTGGACTAATAGTTCTCTCATCAGAGAAAATCCTTCCTGTATGGTATTGGTGATGTTTGCTATGTTGTTATTTATCTGTTGCATGTTGTCTGTATTGCGTCTTGACGACTCCTCCATTAGGTCCAGCATCCTCCGTTTCAGCTGCAACTCTTCCTGTCCTGTATCGGCAGGGACCTTTCTTTTCAGCCTGTCCCCTCTGTGGCTATTTAGCTTTGCCTTGAAAGACACATAGAACAATGTAATTTTATTAACAGGACAATAGCAAAGGTTTGCTTGATTATTAACGTAATGAACATCACAGGCCTCACTGAGTAATGTACATTAATTCTGTAGCAGTAAGACATGATTGGTTTTGATCACAATCTTAGTGTTCAATACAGCTATATGGAATACAAAAATAGAAAAACTGAAAATGTGGAGCCAGTTATAAGCATTACGAAAGTCAAACCCTTTCATCTTACACAGTTATGTCTTACATAATTAAAGTAAATAATCAGCGCATTGATGTTGTTGCCTACCTGCAGCATCTCTCTGCGCTGCCTTACGACTGGAGGAGGCAGCAGACTTTCAACAGAGTCTGACGACTGTGGCGAGTCAGTGGGAAGCTCCGAGGTCGATGAAGACGTCTCGACCAGGTCCCCCGTCTCAATGCCTTGTTCAATGGAGCGTGTTGCAGGCGATCCTCCCCAGATCTCCTCGCAGAGTTCAAAAAACATGAGCACCACACGCCCATGGCCACTCCGTCGCCCACTGTCCACTGCCTGCCTGTATTTCCCTCTGATGTTTTTAATTTTGGCGGTTAATTGGCCTTTAGTTATCGCTGTGGAGTCATGTGGGAAATCTCTGTCCGGAGAGTCGCGTGGATATTGCTCCTGAAAGGCCGACATGATGTCCGTGTATTTGGACATACACGTCTCCCAGTCTACACTTTCTTGTAGCTTGTTGGTTTTGTAATCCAGTGTGACCCGAAGCAACAGTTCAACCTCATCGTCCGTCCATACTAATGTGGTACCAGCTCGCCCACTCGCCATGTTGTCTGTTTACAAAATTCTGCGCATGCCCAGTTCCCGTCACGGAAGTTTGGGCTTGATCCCGTCATTGCGTCACAGCGCCACCAACAGGTCTGGCATAGTTTCACAGCGTTTTCAGGCGTATTGACTACATTCATATGGACGCACACATTTACTGAGCTAACTCCGTGTTTACAGAAAACGTTTCTGAAATTATAAGCGTTTTGTCTTCGTGTGGATATAGCCTCAGAGTACTCCGGTTTCCCCTACCGTTAAAAATATGTAAAATAGTTCTGGCATGCGCCTCCTGTACTGGCGACCCCGCTCCCATCTCTGTGTGGAGTGAGAGACAAGTGCCCAAAAAAATAACAATTGTAAACCGCTTTGAGACTCTGGTCTGTGAAAGGCGGTATATAAATAATTACTTACTTACTTACTTAACAAAACCATTGAAATCACCAACACAGGTCAGAGAATCAACAGTTAAAACACATGAAGAATATAAAGCACACACAGAAGAAAATGTCCATACATGTTGTAGAATGTTAAAGTGTCCTGATCATCACCAATCCTTTCTGTTGGACACTTTTTCTGTTCTGTTGGGAAGTATCTGTTTTTTATGTAAATGTTCATCTGATTTGAGTCTATACTTTCTTCATGAAGAGAACATGCAAATGCCGCTCAGAAAGATGCCGTTTCAACCAGGATTTTACTCAGAATCTTTTTGATTGAGAAGCTGAAGCTTGAGTGAAAATCTCAAGTGAACTAGACCAACAAGTGTGCACACGCCCCAACTCTTACATACTTCCATTTATAGACCACTACTTTGGGAATGTAAAAGCGACATTCCTTCTCTCACTGAACACGACGACACTCTGAGGCTCTGACAGAGGACGGTCCCAGAAGACGCTCACAACTTGAAAGTGTGTCAGTTTTAAATAAGCGTTTGTAGATGAGAGGAGGAATATGGCGGGGAGTTGAAAGTGGATCTCTCTGATCTGCAGACGACACTGGGGCAGTCTGTGCATGTCTTCACTTGAGGAAAACCAAAAGCCAGGCAACCGCAACATGAGCCGAATGGGATCAGAGCAGTACTAGAATCACAACACATAGTTTACGTTAGCAAACGTTGACATCAGGCATGTCAACGTTGGGCAGAAGAAATATTATACATTTTTAAAAATGTATGAGAATATTACAATATTAAAGTATTTTCAGTAACACTTTATAAGACTGTTTGCTTATAAATCATTGACTTCTAGTTATTAAAACATTAATGTGTGTCTTATTTTTATTAAAAAATAATCATCTAAACATTAACGACTCATTAACAAGTGTTATTTGTAACTGTTTTGGAAACCATTACATACTAAAGAACAAATAATCTTGGACTCATTAAGCCATGTTTTATTTAAGTGTTAATAATCATTCATAAATGATTAACACATGATTTACTAATTGTTATTAGTTCATTATCAAATGTTGATTATTCACATGTAAACATTATAATAACCATGTGCTACTCATCAGAATCAGAATCATTTTTATTGCCACGTAAGTAACAGGAAGTCACAGACTTGGAAATTGCTTTGGCTCAGTGCAACAGTCAGAAAGAGATAATAAAAAATAAAGAATAAAAAACATTTCTAAAGAATAAATTTAAATTTAAAATAGAGTTACAGTTACTATTTACAATATACAAGTGCACATGGTGCACACAATGTAAGGTGACAGCAGTACAGTGAAGTAAAGTGACGTATGATGGGCAGTAAAGTGACTTTATAAAGGGCGGGGGGACAGGTTAAGAAGTGTTCAAGAGTCCAACAGCAGAGGGGAAGAAACTGTTCTTGTGGCGGGAGGTTCTAGTCCTGATGGACCGCAGCCTCCTGCCTGAGGGGAGTGGTTGGAATAGTCCATGTGCAGGTGAGAGGGGAGTGGTTGGAATAGTCCATGTGCAGGTGAGAGGGGAGTGGTTGGAATAGTCCATGTGCAGGGTGAGAGGGGAGTGGTTGGAATAGTCCATGTGCAGGGTGAGAGGGGAGTGGTTGGAATAGTCCATGTGCAGGTGAGAGGGGAGTGGTTGGAATAGTCCATGTGCAGGTGAGAGGGGAGTGGTTGGAATAGTCCATGTGCAGGTGAGAGGGGAGTGGTTGGAATAGTCCATGTGCAGGTGAGAGGGGAGTGGTTGGAATAGTCCATCTGCAGGGTGAGAGGGGAGTGGTTGGAATAGTCCATCTGCAGGGTGAGAGGGGAGGGGTTGGAATAGTCCATGTGCAGGTGAGAGGGGAGTGGTTGGAATAGTCCATGTGCAGGTGAGAGGGGAGTGGTTGGAATAGTCCATGTGCAGGTGAGAGGGGTCGGCTGTGATACGACCAGCCCGGCCTCGAGCTCGGGCGACGTACAGGTCCTGCAGCGATGGAAGGCTGCGGCCGATCACTTCCTCTGCAGAGCGCACAATGCACTGTAGTCTCTGTTTGTCCCTGACTGTGGCTCCAGCGAACCACACGGTGATGGAGGAGGTGGAGGAGGTGATGGAGGAGGTGATGGAGGAGGTGATGGAGGAGGTGATGGAGGAGGTGATGGAGGAGGGGATGGAGGAGGTGATGGTGGAGGTGATGGAGGAGGTGATGGAGGAGGTGATGGAGGAGGTGAAGGAGGAGATGATGGAGGAGGTGATGGAGGAGGTGACGGAGGAGGTGATGGAGGAGGTGAGGATGGACTCGATGATGGCCGTGTAGAACTGCAGCTTGGCTTTCCTGAGCTGCCGCAGGAAGTACATCCTCTGCTGGGCCTTCTTGATGAGGGAGCTGATGGTCGGCTCCCACTTGAGGTCCTGGGTGATGGTGGTGCCCAGGAAACGGAAGGACTCCACAGAGGTGATGGGGGAGTCCATCACGGAGGGTGGGGGCGGGGGGACAGTGCTCTTCCTGAAGTCCACAATCATCTCCACTGTCTTCTGGGCGTTCAGCTCCAGGTTGTTACCACTGCACCAGGACACCAGCCGGTCCACCTCCCTCCTGTAGGAGACACCAGGACACCAGCCGGTCCACCTCCCTCCTGTAGGAGACACCAGGACACCAGCCGGTCCACCTCCCTCCTGTAGGAGACACCAGGACACCAGCCGGTCCCTCCTCCTGTAGGAGACACCAGCCGGTCCACTCCTCCTAGGAGACACCAGGACACCAGCCGGTCCACCTCCTCCTGTAGGAGACACCAGGACACCAGCCGGTCCACCTCCCTCCTGTAGGAGACACCAGACACCAGCCGGTCCACCTCCCTCCTGTAGGCGGACTCATCGTTGTTGGAGATGAGTCCAATGAGGGTGGTGTCGTCCGCGAACTTGATCAGCTTCACGGAGTCGTGGCTGGAGGTGCAGTGGTTGGTGTACAGGGAGAAGAGCAGGGGAGAAAGAACACAGCCCTGTGGGGCTCCTGTATTTATAATCCGAGAGTCCGAGACATTCTTCCCCAGACGCACTCGCTGCTTCCTGTCCGTCAGGAAGTCAGTGATCCACCTGCAGGTGGAATCGGGCACGTTGAGCTGGGAGAGCTTGTCCTGGAGCAGGGATGGCAGGATTGTGTTGAAGGCAGAGCTGAAGTCCACGAACAGGACCCTGGCGTAGGTCCCCGGGGAGTCCAGGTGCTGTAGGATGTGGTGGAGGGCCAGGTTAATGGCGTCGTCTACAGATCTGTTGGCTCTGTAGGCGAACTGCAGGGGGTCCAGGAGGGGGGAGGTGAGGGACTTGAGATGGGAGAGAACCAGGCGTTCAAATGACTTCATGACGACAGACGTAAGTGCTACAGGTCTGTAGTCGTTGAGTCCTGTGATCCTGGGCTTCTTCGGGACGGGGACAATGATGGAGGATTTGAAGCAGGCGGGACATGGCAGGACTGCAGAGAGGTGTTGAAACTGTCCGTGAACACAGGAGTAAGCTCACTGGCGCTGTGTCTCAGAGTGGCCGGAGACACGTGGTCCGGGCCAGGAGCTTTGCGGGGGTGCAGCCTCAAGAAGAGTTGTTTAATCTCTTTAGAGGCTATTGTTAGGCTGGGGGCAGGGCTGATGGGTGGGTCGTTAGAGTAGTGGGGGGTGGGGGAGGGAGAGGTGTCAGGGGCAGCATCAAAGCGACTGAAAAATAAGTTCAGATCGTCAGCTAGCTTGTGGTCGTCAGCACAGGGGGGGGCTTTGGGTTTGTAGTTGGTGATCTCCCGTAGGCCCCTCCAGACAGAAGCAGTATCGTTGTTACCAAACTGCTCCTGTAGTCGTTCTCTGTGCCGGGACTTGGCTGCTTTCAGTTCTTTCCTGAACTGATATTTAGCTGCTTTGTAGCCGCTGCGGTCCCCCTCCCTGAAAGCAGACTCCTTTGCTTTCCTGAGCTGCCGGAGTTTAGCAGTGAACCAGGGTTTGTCGTTGTTATAGATGACCCTGGTCCTTGTTGGAATGATGCTATCCTCACAGAAGTGAATGTATGACGTCACAGTGTCCGTATATTCATCCAAACTGTCTGTGGCAGCTCTGAAAAGGTCCCAGTCTGTAGATTCCATGCATGCAGCTCTTCCACAGCTTCATCAGACCACACTTTGGAGCTCCTCACTGCAGGTTTCGAGAGCTTTAGTCTCTGTCTGTAAGCAGGAACCAGATGTATCATGGAGTGATCTGAGAAGCCGAGGGCTGCTTTGGGAACAGCGTGAAAAGCTCCGCGCACGGTGGTGTAGCAGTGATCCAGAGTGTTCTCCTCTCTGGTCGGGCATTTGATAAACTGTCTGTATTTGGGTAATTCCTGGCTCAAGTTTCCCTTATTAAAATCCCCAGGATAATAATCAGAGAGTCCGGGTATAAACGTTCCATACACAGTACTTGCTCTGCGTCCGCACATGGCGGTATGTAAACAGAGGCAAGAATGAATGAAACAAACTCACGAGGAGAATAGTATGGCTTGCAATGAATGAAAAGATATTCCAGAGCAGGAGAGCAGTGCTTGGAGATCACTGTCACATCGTTACACAGAGGACACCAGGTCAATGGCAGTGAAGCAGAGGACACAGAGGACACCAGGTCTCAGTGAAGCAGAGGACACAGAGGACACCAGGTCTCAGTGAAGCAGAGGACACAGAGGACACCAGGTCTCAGTGAAGCAGAGGACACAGAGGACACCAGGTCTCAGTGAAGCAGAGGACACAGAGGACACCAGGTCTCAGTGAAGCAGAGGACACAGAGGACACCAGGTCTCAGTGAAGCAGAGGACACAGAGGAGACCAGGTCTCAGTGAAGCAGAGGACACAGAGGACATCAGGTCTCAGTGAAGCAGAGGACACAGAGGACACCAGGTCTCAGTGAAGCAGAGAGGACACAGGATGAAGTCCTTGTTTCTTCTCATGAGCAGGCTGAGTTCGTCTTATTGCCCAGTGAGCGTACGTTGGACAGAAAAATGCCGGGGAGAGGCTCCTCTCCTCCTCAGATGCACGAGCAGCCTCCGCGCTTTCCCCTTTTACGGACCCACACTTTTTCGGCTAGAACATGGACTAAATCAGCCGCAGATGCCAAGAAAACAGGCAATAGGTCCATGGGGACGGTGGGTTGGATGTTCATAAGTTCCTCACGGGTGTAGGAACAGCCAGATCCGCGGTCAATAACTCACGAAAGCTTTGTTAAACAAAAGTAACTGCCAAAATTATCACATTTACATCGATTGTTCAAATCCAATGCTCTGTTTTAATGCAGAGAAATCCAAGCCCAGAGAAAAGCACTTAGGGACCGTCAACAAATGTCCAGACCAGCTTTTTAAACGAACAATAGCTTTTACTGAAGCCATGAACACGCACTAAACTCTCAGACACTATAAATAATGACCATGTCCAACTGCTGCAGACTTTGATTTCTACTGTAGTGGCTCCTGATCTTTGAAGACAGGGTTTCCCGCACACATGGATAGTGATGGAGAAGGAATGAACTCTGAGTTATGATTAAAAGGAGTTTAATGACATAATCAGAATACATTGAGTTCAATTCAGGCAAAGAGCTCTTCTGCCTGGGTCCCTCTCTGATTCAGGCTCAACGCCAGAAGACCCAGAATAGAAAACTAAAGTGGGTTAAATACTAACATTTACCTTTACCATATATGTCCATCTGACCTATGACCCTAGACTCTTAAAATAAAAAGCAAGCCTGCTTTTCTGTGGCCTGGTCAGCATTCCTGTTGGATGTGAATAGAACAGAATACAGCTGTGTGTATTCTGTTTGTGATTTATTTACATTTTAAATGAATACATGTTTTTCTTTTTTAAATTGCTTTTACAGTAAATGGTCTTTACTGTAACATACATAAATAATGTATGTTACAGTCTTTGTCTCAAGAGTTCCACCTGTTTATTTAATTTTATTTTTGACTAAGGATTGTCACAAGCTGGCTCTATGCTTGTGTCAAAATGAGGGACAGACAGGTAGGGTCATTTGACATATTTATTGGAAATAATGAAAACGACGAACAAAGGATAATAATCAACAAGAATGAGGTGTGAGTATGTGAGCAGTGGAATGTGGGCAGTGTGTGCAAGTCAGTGAATGAAGACCAGTGTATGTGTGTGAAAACAAAGCTAATATTAACAAATAACGAATGACGAAACAAAGAACCAACGATCCCGTACCTGGAGGGAGCAGAGCAAATGATTTTTTTATATGTAGTCAATAAATGAAGTTCTAAAAACTGATTATGAAATTCCATGATTCCTGTGTAGATGGAAATCAGGACTAAAAAGTGCTCAACTGGATCCACCCAATGGTCCCTTATTTTTCTGTTCTCGTTGGCCCCGCCCACTAACCACAGGGTCTTCAGTTCAATCTGCATTTCAAAAGCATGGTCTCTTTAATATGGAATAATATGATATGCTAAACATGTGTTAAATACTGGATGAAATACTGGTGATTTTGTTTGTGGAGACTGGACACACCTGATTTTCAAACCAAAAAAATATATATATTAATTCTAATATATAAATAAGTAACAATCTTGACTTTTCTTTATGTAAGAACCTGAAAGACCTCACACACCAAATTATACCTCAATATACACCGTTTACCGTCTGTGTCCCAAGTTATACCGCATTATCACACGCTCCTCACAGCAGCAGAATGATCCATTGATTTAAATGTAATTTCAAAACGTTCTACTGGTCATTATTTCTTGATAACGGACCTCTCAAAACAATAATGACCGCTGCCCTTTGGCAACGCACTCTCGGCTTGTAATTCATGTGTAGATTGCTCCACAAGTAGTTCCAGCCACTCCGGAGCTAGCCACGCTCAATAAACACAAATACCAATCAACACACTTAAATGTTAATGGGAGAATACACTAGACATATACATTCTTCACACACAGAGGTTTTCAGAATGATCTGTTAAGGTTTTCGTGACAAAAATACTATTTTTATGCGAGAAAAAGCAATTGCGAAAAACCCGGAAGTAGATACCGGCACATTTTAGGAACATTTGCAGAGGATGGAATTATGGATTTAGGTTAGGTTTATGTTTGGGTCACTCACCGCTGATGTTCAGGATTCTTTGTTCAGTTTTCATGCAGTTCCAGAGAGTTCTAGTTTGGAAGTTGTTAGCCTAACTGTTGCTAGCATAGCCACGGGAAAGCCTTTGGGAACTATTTTATTTTCTGTTATTAAATAAACCTTTTGGCATTCCTAAAAGTGACTGAAGTTTATTTTGTGTGTTCTGTTGGTATTCACAGAGAATATTAAATGATAATGAAATCTCCTTTTCATACGGAATAGTAATTTAGTTGGAAGAAGCATTTAAATCGTGTTCCATTCGATTTATATTTACTGACTGAACAAATATGACAATAAGGATAGGACACGAGAATATTACATGAAGGTTTAATACTTTATCTCTTAACTCTACAGAGAGCTTGAACTATAAAAAAAAGGTCACCTTTTCCGAGTTAAATGGTGTATTTAAAAGCACTTTCAATCGTGATTAATGAACTTATGAATATTTGTATCCAATTGAAACAATATTAATAGGCTAGTTAAGATACAAGAGTATTACAAAACAATATATAGACTTGTGTAAAGACAGACAACTCTAGTCTTTTTTAATCAGCTCTCTTCATCAATCAATCAATCAATCTTTATTTATAGGGCGCTTTTCCTGCACAGGGCAACACAAAGCGCCTCACAGTCCACACCACACAATGCACAAATCATCACCATTAAAATACAATTAAAAACACATATGTAATTAAAAAGCATTAAAATCACACAAGTAATTTAAAAACATAAGAATCACACAAGTAATTAAAAACAATAAAATAGTTAAAAACACAAAAAGTTACAACAATAAATAACAAGGTGTGTTAAAAAGATAAAATTCTCTAGTTGTATGCACGGGAAAAAAGAAAAGTCTTTAACATGGATTTGAACATCGACAGAGAGGCAGCCAGTCTCACATCCTCAGGAAGACTGTTCCAGACTTTAGCTGCATAAATCTGAAAAGCAGCCTCCCCCTGTCTAGTCCTGACTCTGGGCACTAACAGGAGTCCAGTCCCTGTGCTCCTCAGAGTCCCAGCAGGAGGCCAGTCCCTGTGCTCCTCAGAGTCCCAGCAGGAGTCCAGTCCCTGTGCTCCTCAGAGTCCCAGCAGGAGTCCAGTCCCTGTGCTCCTCAGAGTCCCAGCAGGAGGCCAGTCCCTGTGCTCCTCAGAGTCCCAGCAGGAGTCCAGTCCCTGTGCTCCTCAGAGTCCCAGCAGGAGTCCAGTCCCTGTGCTCCTCAGAGTCCCAGCAGGAGTCCAGTCCCTGTGCTCCTCAGAGTCCGGGCTGGTTAATGGGACTAATGGTGTGTGTGGATCAGCCAATGACATCGTTCATGCAAGTGTATCCACAAAGTGACTTTTGAGCATAGGTGCGCAAGTAATGGTTGTGATCGATTGTTATGACCAGGACAAAATACAAGTCATGACAATAGTACAAAACACATGATGAAACGAGAGGAAGGCTTGAGCTTGTTTTCATCCAAAAGAGCAAACTCTATAGAATCACAAAATTGAGCATTACTGAAATCTGGTATCCAAAAGTAATAAAACAAACTCTTTTTAGGGCATTTGTTATTAGTCCTATTCCGTCCCGGGCATTCAGACACGCACACTTTTTTCATTGAAAAAATCTTGCAGCACACCCACCAGGAGAAAATGAAAAAAAAATATACTCTGTAGCCCATATTTACAATATAAAATCATTCTGATCAAAGTGCTTGAATCCAGGCCTTGACATTAAGCTTGGTTTAATATTTCTCAATACAATGAGTTAACAAGAGTTTGGGAATAAAGTGGCACTAACTGTGGGGGAAAAAAGACATCTCTTATGTATGATAAATAATAATACAAACATGGCCTGCTGTGTGTGTTGTTTGATTTGTTCACAAAATGTTACTTTTGTGCACTAATAATTCAGATATCCGAGCTTTAAATTCAGGAGTTTTGGTTGATCTTCGGCATAAGACATGGGAGAAACATGGAAGATGGTCCTCAACACATGTCCATGGTTCTGTCTGCGCATCTAAGGTTCTGCCTGCGCATTCATGGTTCTGTCTGCGCATCTAAGGTTCTGCCTGCGCATCCATGGTTCTGTCTGCGCATCTAAGGTTCTGTCTGCGCGTCCATGGTTCTGTCTGCGCATCTAAGGTTCTGTCTGCGCGTCCATGGTTCTGTCTTTGCATCTAAGGTTCTGCCTGCGCGTCCATGGTTCTGTCTGCGCGTCCATGGTTCTGTTTGCACGTCCATGGTTCTGTCTTTGCATCTAAGGTTCTGCCTGCGCGTCCATGGTTCTGTCTGCGCGTCCATGGTTCTGTTTGCACGTCCATGGTTCTGTCTGCGCATCTAAGGTTCTGTCTGCGCGTCCATGGTTCTGTTTGCAGGTCCATGGTTCTGTCTTTGCATCTAAGGTTCTGTCTGCGCGTCCATGGTTCTGTTTGCACGTCCATGGTCCTGTCTTTGCATCTAAGGTTCTGCCTGCGCGTCCATGGTTCTGTTTGCACGTCCATGGTTCTGTCTTTGCATCTAAGGTTCTGTCTGCGCATCTAAGGTTCTGTCTGCGCGTCCATGGTTCTGTTTGCACGTCCATGGTTCTGTCTTTGCATCTAAGGTTCTGTCTGCGCGTCCATGGTTCTGTCTGCGCGTCCATGGTTCTGTTTGCACGTCCATGGTCCTGTCTTTGCATCTAAGGTTCTGCCTGCGCGTCCATGGTTCTGTTTGCACGTCCATGGTTCTGTCTTTGCATCTAAGGTTCTGTCTGCGCGTCCATGGTTCTGTCTGCGCGTCCATGGTTCTGTTTGCACGTCCATGGTCCTGTCTTTGCATCTAAGGTTCTGCCTGCGCGTCCATGGTTCTGTCTGCGCGTCCATGGTTCTGTCTGCGCGTCCATGGTTCTGTTTGCACGTCCATGGTTCTGTTTGCACGTCCATGGTTCTGTCTTTGCATCTAAGGTTCTGCCCGCGCGTCCATGGTTCTGTCTTTGCATCTAAGGTTCTGCCTGCGCGTCCATGGTTCTGTTGGCACGTCCATGGTTCCGTCCACGAGTTCATGTTTCAGTCTTTGCATATAAGGTTCTGTCTGCGCATCCATGGTTCTGTCTGCGCGTCCATGGTTCTGTCTTTGCATATAAGGTTCTGTCTGCGCATCCATGGTTCTGTCTGCGCATCTAAGGTTCTGTCTGCGCGTCCATGGTTCTGTTTGCGCGTCTATGGTTCTGTTTGCGCGTCCATGGTTCTGTTTGCACGTCCATGGTTCTGTCTTTGCGTCTAAGGTTCTGCCTGCGCGTCCATGGTTCTGTTGGCACGTCCATGGTTCCGTCCACGAGTTCATGTTTCAGTCTTTGCATATAAGGTTCTGTCTGCGCATCCATGGTTCTGTCTGCGCATCCATGGTTCTGTCTGCGCGTCCATGGTTCTGTCTGCGCATCTTAGGTTCTGCCCGCGCGTCCATGGTTCTGTCTTTGCATATAAGGTTCTGTCTGCGCATCCATGGTTCTGTCTGCGCGTCCATGGTTCTGTCTGCGCATCTAAGGTTCTGTCTGCGCGTCCATGGTTCTGTTTGCGCGTCTATGGTTCTGTTTGTGCGTCTATGGTTCTGTCTGCGCGTCCATGGTTCTGTTTGCGCGTCCATGGTTCTGTTTGCGCGTCTATGGTTCTGTTTGTGCGTCTATGGTTCTGTTTGCGCGTCCATGGTTCTGTTTGCGCGTCCATGGTTCTGTTTGCGCGTCCATGGTTCTGTCTGCGCATCTATGGTTCTGTCTGCGCGTCCATGGTTCTGTTTGCGCGTCTATGGTTCTGTTTGTGCGTCTATGGTTCTGTTTGCGCGTCCATGGTTCTGTTTGCGCGTCCATGGTTCTGTCTGCGCATCTATGGTTCTGTCTGCGCGTCCATGGTTCTGTTTGCGCGTCCATGGTTCTGTCTGCGCATCTATGGTTCTGTCTGCGCGTCCATGGTTCTGTTTGTGCGTCTATGGTTCTGTTTGTGCGTCTATCGTTCTGTTTGCGCGTCTATGGTTCTGTTTGTGCGTCTATGGTTCTGTTTGCGCGTCCATGGTTCTGTTTGCGCGTCCATGGTTCTGGTTCGTACACCACGTTGCGGATGTGTGTTTGCTGAGCTTTTTGCATATATATCTGCTTCATTATACATTGAGAAGCTCATGTGATACAAAATGCCTCCCACAGTCAACAAAACCTGAGGGGAGAGGTACAGATCAAGGAGGGAGAGGAGCAGGTCAAGGAAGGAGGGAGAGGAGGAACAGGTCAAGGAGGGAGAGGAGCAGGTCAAGGAGGGAGAGGTACAGATCAAGGAGGGAGAGGAGCAGGTCAAGGAGGGAGAGGAGCAGGTCAAGGAGGGAGAGGTACAGATCAAGGAGGGAGAGGTACAGATCAAGGAGGGAGAGGAGCAGGTCAAGGAGGGAGAGGAGCAGGTCAAGGAGGGAGAGGATCAGGTCAAGGAGGGAGAGGTACAGATCAAGGAGGGAGAGGAGCAGGTCAAGGAGGGAGAGGAGCAGGTCAAGGAGGGAGAGGAGCAGGTCAAGGAGGGAGAGGAGCAGGTCAAGGAGGGAGAGGAGCAGGTCAAGGAGGGAGAGGAGCAGGTCAAGGAGGGAGAGGAGCAGGTCAAGGAGGGAGAGGAGCAGGTCAAGGAGGAGAGGTACAGATCAAGGAGGGAGAGGACAGGTCAAGGAGGGAGAGGAGCAGGTCAAGGAGGGAGAGGAGAGGTCAGTCAAGGAGGGAGAGGAGCAGGTCAAGGAGGGAGAGGATCAGATCAAGGAGGGAGAGGAGCAGGTCAAGGAGGGAGAGGTCAGGTCAAGGAGGGAGAGGAGCAGGTCAAGGAGGGAGAGGATCAGGTCAAGGAGGGAGAGGAGTCAGGTCAGCAAGGAGGGAGAGGAGCAGGTCAAGGAGAGAGAGGAGCAGGTCAAGGAGAGAGAGGAACAGGTCAAGGAGGGAGAGAAGCAGGTCAAGGAGGGAGAGGAGCAGGTCAAGGAGGGAGAGGTACAGATCAAGGAGGGAGAGGAGCAGGTCAAGGAGGGAGAGGTACAGATCAAGGAGGGAGAGGAGCAGGTCAAGGAGGGAGAGGAGCAGGTCAAGGAGGGAGAGGATCAGATCAAGGAGGGAGAGGAGCAGGTCAAGGAGGGAGAGGAGCAGGTCAAGGAGGGAGAGGAGCAGGTCAAGGAGGGAGAGGAGCAGGTCAAGGAGGGAGAGGAGCAGGTCAAGGAGGGAGAGGAGCAGGTCAAGGAGGGAGAGGTACAGATCAAGGAGGGAGAGGTACAGATCAAGGAGGGAGAGGAGCAGGTCAAGGAGGGAGAGGTACAGATCAAGGAGGGAGAGGAGCAGGTCAAGGAGGGAGAGGAGCAGGTCAAGGAGGGAGAGGATCAGATCAAGGAGGGAGAGGAGCAGGTCAAGGAGGGAGAGGTACAGATCAAGGAGGGAGAGGAGCAGGTCAAGGAGGGAGAGGATCAGGTCAAGGAGGGAGAGGAGCAGGTCAAGGAGGGAGAGGATCAGGTCAAGGAGGGAGAGGAGCAGGTCAAGGAGGGAGAGGAGCAGGTCAAGGAGAGAGAGGAACAGGTCAAGGAGGGAGAGGAGCAGGTCAAGGAGGGAGAGGAGCAGGTCAAGGAGGGAGAGGTACAGATCAAGGAGGGAGAGAAGCAGGTCAAGGAGGGAGAGGAGCAGGTCAAGGAGGGAGAGGTACAGATCAAGGAGGGAGAGGTACAGATCAAGGAGGGAGAGGAGCAGGTCAAGGAGGGAGAGGATCAGATCAAGGAGGGAGAGGAGCAGGTCAAGGAGGGAGAGGTACATATCAAGGAGGGAGAGGAGCAGGTCAAGGAGGGAGAGGATCAGGTCAAGGAGGGAGAGGAGCAGGATCAAGGAGAGAGAGGAACAGGTCAAGGAGGGAGAGGAGCAGGTCAAGGAGGGAGAGGAGCAGGTCAAGGAGGGAGAGGAGCAGGTCAAGGAGGGAGAGGATCAGGTCAAGGAGGGAGAGGAGCAGGTCAAGGAGAGAGAGGAGCAGGTCAAGGAGAGAGAGGAACAGGTCAAGGAGGGAGAGAAGCAGGTCAAGGAGGGAGAGGAGCAGGTCAAGGAGGGAGAGGAGTAGGTCAAGGAGGGAGAGGATCAGATCAAGGAGGGAGAGGAGCAGGTCAAGGAGGGAGAGGAGCAGGTCAAGGAGAGAGAGGAACAGGTCAAGGAGAGAGAGGAACAGGTCAAGGAGAGAGAGGAACAGGTCAAGGAGGGAGAGGATCAGGTCAAGGAGGGAGAGGAGCAGGTCAAGGAGGGAGAGGAACAGGTCAAGGAGGGAGAGGAACAGGTCAAGGAGGGAGAGGAGCAGGTCAAGGAGGGAGAGGAGCAGGTCAAGGAGAGAGAGGAGCAGGTCAAGGAGGGAGAGGAGCAGGTCAAGGAGGGAGAGGAGCAGGTCAAGGAGGGAGAGGAGCAGGTCAAGGAGAGAGGAACAGGTCAAGGAGGGAGAGGAGCAGGTCAAGGAGGGAGAGGATCAGATCAAGGAGGGAGAGGAGCAGATCAAGGAGAGAGAGGAACAGGTCAAGGAGGGAGAGGAGCAGATCAAGGAGAGAGAGGAGCAGGTCAAGGAGGGAGAGGAGCAGGTCAAGGAGAGAGAGGAACAGGTCAAGGAGGGAGAGGAGCAGGTCAAGGAGGGAGAGGATCAGATCAAGGAGGGAGAGGAGCAGATCAAGGAGGGAGAGGAGCAGGTCAAGGAGGGAGAGGATCAGATCAAGGAGGGAGAGGAGCAGATCAAGGAGGGAGAGGAGCAGGTCAAGGAGGGAGAGGAGCAGGTCAAGGAGGGAGAGGAGCAGGTCAAGGAGGGAGAGGTACAGATCAAGGAGGGAGAGGTACAGATCAAGGAGGGAGAGGAGCAGATCAAGGAGGGAGAGGAGCAGATCAAGGAGGGAGAGGAGCAGATCAAGGAGGGAGAGGAGCAGGTCAAGGAGGGAGAGGAGCAGGTCAAGGAGGGAGAGGATCAGATCAAGGAGGGAGAGGAGCAGATCAAGGAGGGAGAGGAGCAGATCAAGGAGGGAGAGGAGCAGATCAAGGAGAGAGAGGAACAGGTCAAGGAGAGAGAGGAGCAGGTCAAGGAGGGAGAGGAGCAGGTGTAATGGAGTTATTCATGTTTGCATTGAGTTTTGATATAACTGCATTTTCTGCTTTTTGTAACTATTCCCATGAAACGCACAAAAACGCACAAATCTATAGTAAATGCCCAAAACATATTTGAGAATATAAAAGTGTTGCTCAAATGCATCCTGGCAGGTGTGAAACTGTAAAAAGAACAGTCTCACATTCTGAAAACTGTGTTTTCAACTGTTTTGGTGATGATGCTCATATGTTCACATGTTTCAGACCATGAGAGGTGTTTTGGTGATGATGCTCATATGTTCACATGTTTCAGACCATGAGAGGTGTTTTGGTGATGATGCTCATATGTTCACATGTTTCAGACCATGAGAGGTGTTTTGGTGATGATGCTCATAGTGTTCACATGTTTCAGACCATGAGAGGTGTTTTGGTGATGATGCTCATAGTGTTCACATGTTTCAGACCATGAGAGGTGTTTTGGTGATGGGTCGGTTTGAAAAGAGACTGTGTTGTTGTGTGTACGTAGCTTTAGAGGTTTGTGTTTAGAGTTTTGAGAAAAGGGAGGGCAACAACAACAAAAAATTCAGAAAGAACACAGAGGCTGCTCTTTTACTGTTAGCAGAGTTTCAGCTTTGTGTTTCACCCAAACACAGGGTACGCTCGTGTTCTCCTCGTCAGCTACAAAGTGAGCTCTTTCCTGCAGAGATACGTGCTCGAGTTCGTGTGCAACACCCCTGTGAATAAAACAAGCAGCTACCTTTTGCGCATGATTGACATGTCTAAGTAGCCAATAGGAAGAGCTTTCTAACAAGGGGTGGAACATGGAGATACTCTGTTGAATTCTCTCATTAGGACACTTAAAGGTAGGGAGAGAGACGATGTTTGGAGCAGCGCATATTTTAAATGCATTTACACTACTAAAAAATGAACTTTGAAAACACGTTTTAAAAATTACACAGATTGGTAACTTATAAGTACCAAAAATATAAATAAAATATGGTTGAGGACATTAAATCTCAGTAAAGCAAATTGGCACAATTTGGCACATAGTGTGCCAAATTGGTTCCGATTGGAACTACTTGATGAAAAGGAGAAACTACATAAAAACTATAAAACTGAGAAGTCTGAACCTTTAGACAGGTGCTGCCAACAACACAATGATCGTAGGGTTTGAATATTGTGAGCTTACAATGAAGTATGTAAGTATGTGACATGTAAGATGTGTTTTTAAAGAAAGCACAAGACATTTGGGTTTGCCCAACAAGCACAAGCTAAAATGAGGCGAGTGTTAAGAGGTTAGGGGATAAGTACAGTCAAGTTACTCGTCTTCTTCACTGTTTCAGTGAAATAAAAGTGACAATCGACCTTTTGAACTTTTAACCATCTTACAACATTGTTCCTGTTTTGAGAGTGGCATGCTTTATATTGGACCAATGGGCTAGTAATACCCTGTACAGTTATATAAGTAAGTAAGTAATCTTTATTTATATAGCGCCTCTCACAGACCAGAGTCACAAAGCTGTTTACAATTGTTATTTTTGGGCATTTGTCTCTCACTCCACACAGAGATGGGAGCGGGGCCAGTACAGGAGGCACATGCCAGAACTATTTTACATATTTTTAGTGGTAGGGGAAACCGGAGTACCCGGAGGAAACCTACGCAGACACGGGGAGAACATGCAAACTCCACTCAGAAAGGCCCTGGTCCGACCGGGATTCAAACCCAGGACCTTCTTACTGAGAGGCGAGAGTGCTATCCACTCAGCCACGTGCCGCCCTAACGCTGTCTTTTATAATAAGTTATTAAATAGATCCATGTACCTGCCACAATTAAACGCTTCTTGTCATCTGCCAAGTGAACGTTGCAAGTTGTCTGTCCCCAAAGAAACTACTCTCCAAGAGCAGCAGGTATAAAAAGCCAGCAGCTACTTCACGTTGACAGCCACTAGAGAACTGTGAAGAAGTGAAGTGGGTATCTACTGAAAAGTTCACATTCTGTGCAGAAATCTGATCCATGGTCCTCTTGTTACCCTCTCTGCGCTGTGACCTGTTGAACGCTGTCTTTTTCTCTCCCACACTGTAATTACTGACCCATTAAACCTCTCACTGGCCCTTCACCGGCCCTTCACCGGCCCTTCACTGCTTCTTCACGCGCAATAGCGTCTAATAAGATGGCTGCAAAAATGTGAACATTGCCAGAATTCGATTATTCATTCATTTTCAAGCCCTTTATTGTCCATTTCTGGGTCAGGGGGGTGGCAAGGAGAGCTGCCACCCAATGCTCATAGCACCAGTCCCTCGCTGATCCTCTGCAGGGGGTGAGTCCACAGGAAGATGGCTGCTCCGTCAGTGGTGAAACAGCCTTGTTCTTTCAGCGGGGGCTTCAGGCAACGTGGGGTTAAGTGTCTTGCCCAAGGACACAACGACAGTAAACATCAGTGGGAGCAGTTGGAGTAGGTCCCATGGTGGGAATCGAACTCACGACCTCCAGGCTCAAAGGCCAATGCTCTACCAACTGAGCTACTGTCGCCCCAGAATTCGATTCGATTATGTTTTTGAAAATAAAAAAAAATAAAAAATCTCTGTAACATAATGTCTACCTACAGTCAAAAATGGTGGAAAAAGTGTCATCTGATATCCTTTCTGTAACCTGGATGATTCCAGTCAGTAATCTAAAAGATCAAACTGCACCAGGCCCTACGGAAACCATGAACCAAATGCATATTATCACTTTTATCACCACACTTGATTAACTAAATATTAGATCATTTGGAACTTATAATCTATTGACTGGCACAGAGATAGTTTGAGGGCAAAAGATCGAGGAACAAGTACAGTATTGAGTTGTGTTGTACTTAGGGGCGACAGCAGCTCAGTTGGTAGAACATTGGCCTTTGAGCCTGAAGGACACTTCACCTCCGGGAACACCAGCCACAGTGGGGCGGCTGCGGCTGTAAAGTGCCAAACTGTGGTTGTGTCCTTAGGCAAGACACTTCACCCCCACTGCCTAGAATGAGTCTGGTGTGTGTGTGAATGGTTGGTGGTGGGAGGGGCCGATGGCACAGACTGGTTGCCTCGCTTCTGTCAGTGTGCCCCAGGGCAGCTGTGGCTACAGTAGTAGTTTATCACCACTGTGTATGGAGAGAATGAATAATGACATGTAAAGTGTCTTTGAGTGTCAAAAAAAGCGTTGTATAAAACTGATTCATTATTTTTATTATTACTTAATATTCACCAGTTTGTGTTGTGTGCTCCTCATTCCTACTGTTAGGTAACTTGTAATGCAAGACTGAAATTTCTCCACTGTGGGACAAAAAAATCGTAATCACATTTTGATAAGAGTGCTGCTGATTGTCGTCTGTACAAATATGGAGCAAAATATATGATGGGACACAAGAGAAACGGCACCTGCCTAAGAGTCAACACGTAGCTCCGCAGTAGCAGCTGTAAGTGTCGGTTTTTACCACAGTCTACTTGACTGTAGTAAAAACTTATACCATAGTCTACTTGACTGTAGTAAAAACTTATACCACAGTCTACTTGACTGTAGTAAAAACTTATACCATAGTCTACTTGACTGTAGTAAAAACTTATACCACAGTCTACTTGACTGTAGTAAAAACTTATACCACAGTCTACTTGACTGTAGTAAAAACTTATACCACAGTCTACTTGACTGTAGTAAAAACTTATACCACAGTCTACTTGACTGTAGTAAAAACTTATACCACAGTCTACTTGACTGTAGTAAAAACTTGTACCACAGTCTACTTGACTGTAGTAAAAACTTATACCATAGTCTACTTGACTGTGGTAAAAACTTATACCATAGTCTACTTGACTGTAGTAAAAAAACACACTGGTAATAAAATCACACTGGCCAAACCATACATTAATAAAACATCAAACTGTTTCAAACAGAGGAACTCCATGAATGAATGAAAAGGCAGTATATCAGAATGACATACTCGTTGGAAACACCACTCGTATGTGTTTTTTGGAATATTAGTTTTTTCCTATTTATTCATGATATAATTAAGGAAATTAGTTTGACATTAAAACGAAAACTGTTTAAAGATCTTTTGTCAAAACTTAGCTGCACATCGTTCTATCTTTGAAGCCAAGATTCAGATCTTCAGATCAACTATGGAAAATATAAAATAAATAATATTAAATTCCTTCAGATATCCAGTTCCAGATATTCTATAAGTATGTGTACATGTAAATATTTGTATGTGTATGTAGTATGTGTGTTTATAGGGTGTTGATATCCTGACAATTGTCCAATCCACCCCCATTCAGTGTGCGGATTCTCAAACAAAGCCGTAAACAGGCAGAGGGCAGTGGGAGGAGATGCATGGGTGGATGTTCCGTGTCATTAATGATGAGGAAAATGGAGGGTCATGTGGGATCCCCTGCTCGCTGGAGTGCCCGGTTTGGCTGAGTGGTGGGCGGATTCGCTGTCTACATGCCATTACAGAGCATCGTTTCAAGACAAGGGCTTTTTGACAAAGGCCGATAGGAGGAGGTGAATGCGCTGGGGCGGAGAATACGAAGCAGAAGCCTGGGAGAGGGTGGAGGCAGATCAGCAACAGATCCTTGTGTTCTGAGTCAATGGGTCAAGAGGAAGAGATTGTACAGAGGACACTGCTGCATTGTGTATAGAAGATGTATTGTGGACAGAAAAGTATTTTAACTTAACATGCCGTGTTGCCGCTGTCGCAATCAAATAAACTATAAACTTAATACTGCTACCTGTGTTCTAACTCAGGCTGAGTTTACACGGAGACAATGTGGCAGTAAAACGGTATAGTTGGATGTCGGTTGCTACCAACCGTTCATACGAAGACTGTTCCAGGTGAAAACGTAAGTGTTCAGATCCAGCCTCAGAGTGGGACAGCTCAGAAACGCTGCACAGCGGGGGCTCTTTCACACCCGCGAGAGGGAGAAAGGTGTGAAATCCCCTCTGCTCTGACCCCCACCTCCTGCTGCTCTGACCCCCACCTCCTGCTGCTCTGAC